TGAGGAGTCCTCCCCCTGAGGAGGAAGGAGCGGCAGAGACAATGTGTGATGAACTGACTGCAACCCCCACTCCCCGTCCCCCTGCGCTGCTCGGGGGGAGGAGGGAGAGAAACGGGAGTGAAGCTGAGCCCAGGAAGAAGGGAGGGGTGGGGGAAAGGTGTTTTAAGATTTATTTTTAATTTCTCATTACCCTACTCTCATTTGATTGGCAACAAATGAAGTTAATTTCCCCAGGTCGAGTCTGTTTTGCCCATGACGGTAATTGGTGAGTAATCTCTCCCTGTCCTTCTCTCGACCCGTGAGCCTTTCCTTAGGTTTTTCCTCTCCTGTCCAGCCGAGAAGGGGGTGATGGAGCAGCTTGGTGGGCACCTGGTGTCCATCCAGGGTCAACCCACCACAAAGAGCTTTGAGTAGAATTAGAACAGGAGCTCATCAGGAAATTTTTTAGAGTTCCTTTCGATATCAAACAGGCAAGCTAGTTGAAGCAAAATTTTTCACAGAAGAAAAGAGGGGATTTGGTAAATTTTTCAACTTGAAACAGATTCTTGAAAAAGTTCTGTTTCATTAGATATTTTCTAAACAAAACCTAAAGTTTTCTGGTTCAAAGTTAATTTTCATTTTGGTGTTTTATCTAGATGCAATAAATATTTCCAAAAATAGTAAGTGGTACATATCTAAATGGTTTTTTTGAAGTGGTGTGTGAAACTCTTGACCTGAAGTTCTGTGTCAGTTATTATTGTGGCTGCTGCTGTGGCTGCTGTTGTTCTTGCTATTATTATAATTCACAGAAGAAAATACTATTTATGAAAACAAGTATGATGACTGCAGTCTGCCACAGATGATACGACTTCTACCGCACAGTTGTGCAGAATTCATTCCCCTTATCCACCCTAGAATGAAATCAGAGGGGTAACCCTCCCACAAATTCACATATTATAAAATAATTGTGGCTATTTCTTGAATGTTGAAGTCATGAAGATGATCATAAGCAAGTCTTGCAGACAATTTTAACAGTTTATTAAGCTTTATTTCACTTGAATATGCCCAGACTTGCATTTCAGAATTTAAAAAAGCTCTCTCAGCCTTAATTTAACAAAGGATAAGATGAATGAATCTGTATATGCAGCCCCTATAAAAAAAGGTGAAAGCACTTCATATCTGTTGTCAGCAGCCCTTTCAGCCAGAGGAGAACCACAGGCTTCTTGGGAGGAAGGTCATTCTCATACGAGGCTCTAAGGGAAAGAAACCTTTGATGTTCCTTGCTTGCGGTGTCATTTCTGGATTCCAGTTGTCTTTTGAAAGTTTAAAGGCTGTATTTTTGCTTTTAAACATAGAAACTATATTAAAATAAACTGAAGAAATTATGAAAAATCCCAGTGCTTTTAGTGCAATAGTTTTAAAGGCAAAGGATCAACATCCTTGGAAAATCCTTTCTTTATCTGGAACAGACTTTTGGATCTTGGGTGAGAGGAAATAAATATTCTCTGGATATTATTATTGCAAGAATCTGACTACATTTGTTATTTCTGCATTATATTTCCAAGTTCTTTTCTTTAGTATGTTTTCAGTACATTTTGGGGAAATTCTGTTTTTTTGGGGAATTCAGATTTTTTATTACCAAATATAACATGTATCTTCAGGTTGTCTATCACATTATCAGTCAGAAATTAAAGGCAAAATAGAGACAAGCTTTGTGGAGTCCCTAAGAAAAATCTTTTTGTGGTTACTTAAAATTTTGTGATGTTCATTTAAATAAGCAATAGCTCCATGCAGATAGAACTGGTTTTGGGGATGATTGAGCATACACCTTATCTAAGTGCAGGTAGTATCTGGTCCAAGCTTCCAGGCAATGTTTAATGATGACGTGCACCTAGTCCGCCTTTCTGTAGCCTTGTACTTTTCAAGCTTATAAATTTGGAAATGCTGCTAGGAAGATAGAAAATGCAAGTTACTTCTGGCACTAATTCCTGCATGTGAAGCATGTTCTAGGGTGCAGAACCTGCTGAAACAACCAGAGTATGTATTTTAGATGCTTTTAGTACAATAAAGAACTTCTGAATGTTGTTTCCTATGATAGTTTCAGAGACAGATGCAGTGGAGAAATAGTTAAAGAATATTCGGTATCTGATTTTTTAGATGACATTTCCAGAGGAAGGAACTGACATGAAAACAATGCCTTTTTCAGAAATGAAACTCAAAGTAAAAGCATGTGTGTTGTTTCATGCAAGTGATACAGATATGGAAAATTATGTGTTAAAATACTGCATTTTGAGCTACTACTGTCTCATTTTATTTAACTGTTTATGTATTTGCTTGTTTTTTAGAACATGGAGGCAGGCTTTTCAGAAATGAGAAATGAGCTGCAGTCACGGGATGCTCTCTGGAGAAGGATACAACTGGAATGCCAACAGCTGCATGCAGAATTACTGAAAATCAGAGAGTATAAAGACATGCAGGAAATTCAAATAATGTATGTATGTTGAAGACAATATTTAAATTAACAAGTACTTCTGAGCTAACAACTTTTCTTACATTTTATTTAAATTAAGCCCTTTTAAAAAGATACTCTGAATTCAAATGTCATATTCTAAACAATTTTTGAATAAACATTTTCATAGCAATTATATATGACAAGATTGCAGGCAATAGATGCAGGCTATGTTAAAAGGCTTTAATGCTGCCTAGATCTTTACAAATGAATGCATTTCATTTGTTTCTATTTATATGTTTACGGTGCCTTTCTTTTTCTCGGCATTAAAACACTTTGGAAGTAGTGCAATTAAGATTCTCCCTAACCTCCTCTGAGTAAAATGTTCATCTTTTTATGTTTTATCTAATCTGCCATATCCATTTGAGATTATATGAAATACTAATTTGCAAGACATTTCAGGATTCTTTCTGGATGCACTTGCATTGTCCTTAATCTCTAGATATCTTCCAAGATCGAACCTGGTTTATGCCAAATCTTCTGGTTGTTTGGGTTTTTTTCATCCGTGAGCTGGTCTTTCATGGTTTTGCACTGAGTAGAGGATACTGTAAGGTAAAGGTTATTGAATGTTCTGCTTGTTTCATGTTTTGTTTATTTCCTATTTAAAGGCATCAGTCATCTTGCATACAACTTACTGAGCAACTAGAAAATAAAAACGCTGAGTTACTACTATTGGCACAAAGTCAAGAACACCAACGAGAAGAGCTAAACAAGGTATTTCATATTGTTAAGTATTTCCAGATCTTAACTGCAATGTAGGATTTTAAAAAGAGAGCAGAGTACTGACCTTGGACATGCGCATATGCAGAAGAGAGCAGGAGGATAAATTGTGGCTTTAGGATAGTATGAAGTTTTCATATATGAAAAAGTTTTCTATATGGTTGCATTTCTGGAGGAAGTTGTATAGCTGTAAAATTGACATTCTGATTTTGTGCACTAACAACAGAACTAGCTACTTCATTGAAATAACAGAAAAGACCATGCCTAAGCATCAGTGTGATTCAGATAATACCTTGCAAGTAATAAACCTGCCAAGGCTATGAGTTATTAATAGGCTGAGGGAGGTAAGTAGTAGTCATAGATGTAAGATATGCTAACAGCTCAACTGATAAACGTCACTATGGCAGGTACCCACATGTTGTGGTTTAACTCCAGCCAGCAACTAAGCCCCCTACAGCCGCTCGCTCACTCCCCTCCATGGGATGGGGGAGAGAGTCAGAAGAGTAAAAGCAAGAAAACTCGTGGGTTGAGATAAAGACAGTTTAATAAGTAAAGCGAAAGTCACGTGTGCAAGCAAAGCAAAACAAGGAATTCATTCACTACTTCCCATCAGCAGCCAGGTGTTCAGCCATCGCCAGGAAAGCAGGGCTCCATCACGGTTACTTGGGAAGGCGAATGCCAGAACTCCCAACATCCTTGCCTTCCTTCTTCTTCCCCCAGCTTTATATGCTGAGCGTGACGTCATACGGTATGGGACATCCCTTTGATCAGTTAGGGTCAGCTGTCCCTGCTGTTCCCCCTCCCAGCTCCTTGTGCACCCCCAGCCTACTCAGTGGTGGGGTGGAGTGAGAGGCAGAAAAGGCCTTGGCTCTGTAAGCACTGCTCAGTGATAGCTAAAACATCCCTGTGTTATCAACGCTGTTTTCAGCACAAATCCAAAACATAGCCCCATACAAGCTACTGTGAAGAAAATTAACTCTCTCCCAGCCAAACACAGCACACCACACCAGGCTAAGCTTAGTCAGTCACCTGCTGCACAGCCTAGGGCAGTGCTCTTTCGTTTGAACTTCGCACATTTCAGAAGTGCTGTATGCGGGCAGCAGTGGCGTGGCACTGTGGAATGGCGTGTGGCTTGGCCGGCCAAAACCCTTTGGGAGTAGAGGATGCTCACAACTCCTCTTACAGGCATGTTGTGGTTTTGCTGAGTAGCAGTGTAAGCAGGAATATCTCTAATTGGATGCAGCTGACTTGGATGCAGAAATTTTGGCACGATAGTCATCATCCAGCTCTTAGTTTTTTTGCATCTACATCTATTTGTTTACAATTCTAGAATTTCTGTGTACTTTGCATAAATAAAAATGAAATGCCATCTGTTACTGATTGTGTACAGTACTGTGAGGAATTATTAAAATGGGTTCAAAGGTGGTTATGCTGGTTTTTGTAGTTTTGTTTCTTAAATAACAAAAAAAATCTATCAGTACTAAATTGTTAGTTATAGTAGAAAGATTATGGAAACAATCTTGGTGTTGGTTCTTTGGAGAACTCTGCACAGGAGATAGTGCAGAAACTTTGACCTTAAATTTTATATATAATGGCAGGAAAAAATCTCACAAAGTCATTTACCATATCTACTTTTTATTTCATATTACTCATTAAAGAGTCTCCAGATTGATTTATTTATATTGCTCCTAAGTTAATTTAGGCTGCATTAAACTTATTTTAAACCTAAATTAACTTAGGAGCAATATAAATAAGTCATACTTAGGTTTACTGAATGGATATTTCCTTGGATATTCTTTGCCATAAATTCAAATTCTTAAAATTAACATTATGTTTATTACATTCTTTTTAAATGCCATGTATTTTGTTAATTTCTAATACAAAATAAGCAAAAGAAAGCACAAGAGAAGGGTTGAAAAAAGATGTAAAAATAAATAAAGCTATGTGCACTGACTCATGAAGACTTTTTATTATACAATCTCAAAAATCTCTGATTCACTTCGAAGAGTTGGTGTCTTGGAAGCAACAGCAAAAAAAGTCCCTGGTAGGTAGCAATTGATGCAATCATATTTACTGCACAACATTTTTTCTTTTTGAAACATATTTCCTACAGATAAGAAACCATGTTTCTCGAGAGGAGCAGTCCCATCGCTCTGAGCAGGAGAGAATGAAGACAGAAATCTCTGACCTCACAGAAGAGCTTCATCAGAAGGAGATCACTATAGCAACTATCATGGAGAAAGCTAGTCTTCTGGAAAGACAGTTAAAAATGGAGTTAGAGATAAAAGACAAATTGTTAGCAAAACAACAGGTATGCAAGGAGGCAAAACCAGCCTAGATCATTTTACTCCACACTACTGATAATGACATGCATTATCTGTGAAAAAAGACATTACATTTCTTGCTGTAGTTTTCATCAGCCGTGCTGTAATCTCTGTGAAGTATTACTAAAGCAGCCAAATTGATGCTGGAACAAGAAAGCACCAGTAAATGTCAACTGTACATCTAAATTGCAAGTCATTGTGACCATCAAATGTAGTTACCATTTTAACATGCAAAAGATCTTGAAAACTTCCAGTTTGTCATTATTATATGTGCTTTATCATTAGAACCATTTATTAGATTATCTAGAATGTTTCCTAATTTTTCAGGTGGTTTTAAAGCTTTTTGAAGAATGTTGCAAATCTGCTTAGAAAATTCTGGTAATTTTAAAGCTGAAAACTGTAAACCACCAGTGTTTCAATGGAAAATTTCAGTTTTAAAAACACGTATGTTATCTTCATTACTCACTTTTGTAAACCAAAAGAACCTTCATATTTAGAGGTTTCTGAGTATCTCTGGGTTTTCTGAGAGGGTCACTGCGTAATGAAAATTGTGATTAATGTAATACTTTACTTTTGACAATAGGAAAGTTAGTGTTTGGGAAAATGAGAGACGTCTTCTGCTGTGTGGCACCCTTTACCAGGCCGTATTCCCTATAGTAGCACTGAAGCAGTGGATGTGATGCCTACGCTTCATGACTAGGATTTCATCCAGCTTCAGTGGCCTGCAAAATCTGTCCTCTTTGTATCTTGTAACTGCATGTAAACTCCCTATTTTCCTGACTGATTACTTCTTTCAAAAAGGTAAATCAAATCAGAGGCATTGCATTTGTATATCTTCTATAGGTGGTTTAAGACTTCTTTCTGCTTTAGTATTGCTGTATTTAAAACAAAATAATTATAGTTTCGTGATTCTTTATGTATATTTTGTAAAATTAAACTTACATATATCTATACTCAGTGTTATTTCAAGTTAACAGTAATATTTTTGTATTTAACTAAGAATTGAATCTTTTCCTAGTTGTTGGATTTCCAATACAAAGTTATCAAATCTGAAAACACACATTTAAAAGAGATGGTGGAAAACCAGGTGTGTAAAAGTTGCACGGTAATTTTTTTTAATCTATGTGATATGCAGAACAGTTACTTATATTTATTGTAAATATAGATTGAGATCATGGCAGATTTAGAGATTTCTGGCTTGGTAAAATAAATAAACAAAAACAAGGTGTGTGACATAATCAAACCCAAGTGGTATTCACACACAGCCTGAAGATGGGTATAGCAAGGAATAATTTTGATCTTAATGATACTAAACTAGAAGTAAGGTAAATTTTTCAGTAACTATCTAGACACAGTTTCTGGGAGCACATTTTGTGTAAGTTATGTCACTTATTTCAGAAAATATTTAAACAGTCATCATTCTCACAGATCCAAAAATATATCCCATTTTTACTATTTTACCCCTTTGTTCATATGAGATTTAAATAACAGTGTAAAAAACTGACACATTTTGCCCCCACCCAGCTTATTTTCAGAGTTTAGTATTTATCTCTCTCGAAACAGGGGATAGTTAAAGTTTAATTCATAAAAAGTGTGCCTGTACACTGTATTTACTGCTGTAAATACATCTTTGGGGGATTTGTAGCCTGTTAATTGTCTTACTGTAGACTGACAAATGCATGAAAGAATGTCACGTTTTTCCACATGCTTGAAATAGCATATATATCTATCAGTCCTGTGTTACCTATACATACATATACACTATTAAGGATATGTGCGTGTGTACGTATGATGTATTATTGTGGAAACATAGGTGGATGGGTGTATGCAAGTCTTGCTCTTCTCTACAGTGATATTCTTCATGAAGACTGAGAAGAGCTGTCTGACAAGAATCCTTGTAGATATCACGTTTGTTAAATTTTAACAGTAAAATCCCATTACTAGATATACCACTAGATAGATCGATGTGCTTGTGGACTTAATAATTCTGTCCTACTTCACTAGCGTATTGTGAGGATCTAAACATTAAAGATTGTGAGGTATTTGATATTAAGATTATAGGGGCTGGAGAGGTTTTTATGGATGTGTTTGTACAGTACAGGAGAGCACTACACAGACTCCTCACGCTAGTATGGTGTAACTCATCCTCAGGTAGTGTTACTTGTTTAGATCTCAATAGCAAGGTAGCTGTGCCAGCCTGGTTTTGGGGTTCGTGCCATTAATCCCTGTACAGCTGACTCTAGAGCTATTAGTGATAGGGGGACTTAGCACTCTCCTTCCTCTGTTCTGCCACTCCTCTCCACTTGGGAGACTCAGCTGAGCCCCTGGCCCCATCCTTGCACAAAATATTAAATTTTCTTATACTTTCTGGCACTTCCATGCCAGCTTGGCTCATAATTTTCCCCTAAAACTAGCTAAGCAAGGCAAGGTTTACAGGAAGAGATGACATCAGACCAGTTAGTGCAAGGAATAGACGAGCTTTCAGGTGCAGGAGCTCAGCTGTGCTAGCAATATACTAAAACCCAAATCCTTAATACTCGTGAGTTACTGGATTCCAAAAGAATAAGGTGAATCTAGAAACAGGTGAAAGAACAACTTAATAAAATGTATGGGTTTTTAGTCTTTTGTGTGTAATCTGATAAATCTTTTGAGACTTTTCTGTTGATGACACTATACTGTTATTGCGAACATATATTACACAATGCAATGCAGTATTCTGCAGAGAGGTCGTTCCAAACTAGCTAGCTCAGGTGTGCAACATAGGCTTCATGGAGTAAGTGACAGGACAAAAAAGGAATGGGCTATCATAGAATAGTTTGGGCTGGAAGCTAATCTCCATCTTCCCCTCTTGATATCCTCGTGGATGGGCCTCTTCAGCCCCTGGTCGCAGTGCCCGTGTCGCTTCCAGTGGCTTGACCACCGTGTGGGCTAACCCAGCTGAGAAGCAGGGTTTAGTGACACAGACCGAGAGCACTGGGCTAATGTGGCTCTACTTTACTGCTTCGGAAGCTGAAGGTGACTGTATCTCGACACCGATATTAAATTGCGCCTGTAGGCATACCTTGTATCTAGTATAGTAATGAACTTCTATAATTTTTCTTGTTATTTTTGGTGGAATTGTTACTGGAGGGAGCAATACAGTCTGCAGCTATAGCTGTTATGGTTGCTTTCATGTCATAAGTTTTACAAAGCAAGCGATGAATTTACAACAATAACATTTTGAATGCATGTTTGTTGAGAAATTTTAATTTGTTTTCTTGTATTATAGAGACTGTTATCCCTTCTTTTCCATTTGTCTACAGTATTTTTTTTCTGGAGGCAATTCTCTTGGTTTGCTATAAGTGCTGCATGATTATATATGGTAGCTAGGTCTTTCTTTAGCATAGAACATTATTTTGTGTTTGCTTGTTAAAAATACTGACATCCATTTATTGTGGAAAAAATAACCGTTTAATTATGGTTTTAGCTCTTTTCACAGAGTATAGATTTATCTGACAAAGAACGTGGGAATTTCACAGCCTCCATTCAAAAACTGGAACATGAGAATGTAAGATTACAAAACAGTCTTGTTAAACTACCAAATGACACAGAAGCACCGATACTGGGTCACATGGACAGATATGGAGAAACAGAGCACAGCTACCAAACCCATTCAGAGATGCAAGAAAAGGAAGAGAGGTAATATTTAGATTGTACACATATATGAAACTTCCTATAAGTTTTTTGTAAGCATCTAACTGGGCCAAACTGTTAAGCGTTTTTTCTGTTTCTGTTCATTCAGAACTCCCACCAACATAAATACCAGACTCAGACAGTATATTTGTAAGAATTTTGTACAGTTTTCTGAGTGGCTAACTGAATTTGGCAATAAATGAAATCCCAGAAATGTTTGATCATTATTTTAGTATTTGTCACATGAAACACCGTTAAAAACTTTTTATGTGCTGCTTAAGTTATTCTTAGTTCCAGGTTTTGCAAAACAGGACAGAATGTATTTTTACTGCCAAATAAAAACAAGACAAGGAAAGGATATAAAAATCAAAATGAGAGGTAAACTGCTCCACAGGAGGTTATCTTAAT